GTATGACTTGGAATATCTTGGACCTTCTTTTTTTCTCACTATTCCTTTTGTTTTCGAATATAGTAAAACTAAATTTGTACGCTCGTTGTGGTTGTGACAACATGTATTATGTTTATATCAAATGTAACCATCTTATGTGGACTAAAATAGTGTATATCTTATTTCATGTATTAATATTTAGGCTCCTCAGCTTCACGTGGAGATTCACAAACATGGTTTGGGTCAGCAGGCAATGGGACCCGAGCCTTCTTCGTCTACCAGCACGAGGGTAAACTAGCTATCTTCCTCTGACTGTATTTGTAGCCATCTTTGATTTTTTCGGGGGTTTAGTATACTCTGTCTTCATGAAGCATTTTTTTAATAGTTCTGTACATACTACTCGGTTATTAGAACAGTTACCAAGTTCCAATTGAACCCCGGAATCTCATATCATTGTCTGAAGAAAGGGAATTCTTTCTTTACGAGAAAAATGGTGATGATAGGGGCACGGTTGTCTACATAAACTATCCAGTTTTGAGTGATTGGATAATTTTTTTACACTTTTTAGCTCAAAAAATATCCGAACTCAAGTTTAATCTATTTCAACTCAATATTATCAATATAACTAAATAATACAAATTAATCATCCTCACACATTACATCAACACATTTTTAACTACCTATCATTCTCAATATCATATCTCCTACTTTTGCATGACATGAACTTTAATCATTACATTTTAAATATTATTTAAATGCAAACTCAAAATCCCACTATAATCTCCACTCAATCAACTTTCATCAAAATTAACTCAATTTAACCAATAAATTCAATCAAGACCGGTTTTATTTATATCCACTCGCGCCCTAAGAAGTCCTACTTTGCCTTTCCATTTCAGGTTGCATTATTATTATTTTTTTCTTCCAAAATTGCTTCGTATTTGGTTAAACAACCATGTGTTTGCATTTGCCACATCAGCAGAGTACAAGGAAGAGCAAAAGTAGCGATCTCAAGTATGACATATGTGGGTGGATTATCCTTGCTGTCGGCATTTTTGCGTGGGTCGGGTTTGCAAAAGCTAACATGCCTCCACCACCACCACCACCTCCGAGATAAGTCTGGTCGAGTATTTGCTTCACATCGACTGGAAAATTGAGTCTCTTGCCGAAAGGAACTTTAGAGCTTCGAAAAACTTCAGTTTTTGCATCGATTATCATTTTCTTTTCCCATTTTCCCTTTTCCATGGAGTACCTTAATCCATGTAACTTTTAAGGTAAGAGGTTTTGTAATATTGTTTGCAGCAAGTGATGAAGTTTTTCCAATAAATATTCTTTGCTTTAATATGTATTCAGCTTTCACAAGAACTAGCAAATCCATAAGGTTTGGAGTATTTGGGTCTGATTCTGTACTACTGCATAAATAGTAGTACTTATTTGGAAGCTCTTTTCAAAAGGATCTATATAAAATCCAATTTCAAGTTTATTCATGGTTGGGGAAAAGAATTTATATATAATCCAATTAGTAGTGTTCCCTTATTCACAGTGGACACATGTTAATATGTCTACTGCTTAATATGTTCAAAAAAATACATCACCAATGTGTGAATGTCACATAAGCGGTTGGCATATTAACATGGGCCCACCGTGGGTAGGGGAGTATTACTGTTAATCCAATATCAAGTTTATTCATGGTTGGTGATTAGTCCTGTAATTATTTTTTTGGGTGTTACAATCAATTCATAAGTACACATTATAATGAAATATAATTTTTAAGATCATAGTAGACTCTGGAAGAAATCATATAAAATTACCACCAGCTGGCATTGAACTGTAATAATTCTTCTATTATGTTAGTTGAAGTTAGTTTAATAGTTAAACAATCCCTAGTACAATGACATCTATAATTATAATATATTTTGCTCTAAATATGTATTTTTCTGTTAAAAATTTGATAAATTGTGTATGTTTTACAAGAAAATATGGTCAACCAATTATTAGACAGTCTAACATTAAATTATAATAAAATATACCATTAGACATCTAACATTTACATTTATAATTTGGCATATGTGCTATTCTTTAATTAAATTACCAGAAAATTAAACATTAAATTGTCTACTAATCTGTAATTTTATTTGAATAAATAGAGGTCACGAGCTAACTAATTTAGTTAAACTAAATAAGCTTAGCTTGTCTGCTAACTCTCTTGCGCCACAGATATATATATATATATAAAGGAAAAATCCTACTAAAAGGTCCAAACTCCAAAGGAAAGGTCACCTACCGCCGACCGGCTACTATGGCCTTGAGCTCCACCTTCTTCTCCATTCCTTCAAATCTCACCTCGAATTTCCGCTCCCCTCTCAGAGTGCCTGCTTTGCAGTTTCTTCAGCTGTCTAACCCGGGGACACGGAGGAGGATCCGCCGCGAACTGACGTCAGCAGCCGCCATGTTCGCTGAGAGCACGCTTGTCAGCGATGTCATCGCCACCGGCTTGTCCGGCGGGATTGCGTTGACTTTGCTGAAAATCTGGGAACAGACGGCTAAGAGAGGCGTCTTTGACCAGGTTGACTTTCCCCGCCTCTCGATTTTTTCCCCCAATTTTACTATACTCGTCGATTGATTGTGATGTGGATAATGATTGGGCGTATTGATTTTTGTATTTTCTGGTGTGGTGTTCTTTCTTTCATTTTTGTATGTGCCTTCTATAATTAGTCTGGGTTCTTTCCTAGAATTATTTTTCATAAAAATATTTACGTCACATGTGTTCAAATTTTGGAATTTTGTGAGGAATATAAGAACTAGGTTTTCATATTCTTTGATCTTCTGATATTAACAAGTTCTCGTGCAAGGCACCCTAACCGTTATCGGTTCGAATGTCATACTTTGGTAACAAAAATACACAGTAATGAAATGTCATACTTTTTGCTATGTTATTTAAAATATGACATTTTAGATGACATTTTAGTTTGTGTATATATATGTGTGTGTGTGTGTGTGTGTGTGTGTGTGTGTGTGTGTGTGTTGAACAAGTAGGACCTTCTAATCGTGGCCTTACTATAGTCTTCTTCGTCTTGTTTCCTGTGTAATGTTTGATTTTCTTGTGTTCAGAAACTGAATAGGAAGCTTGTACACATCACTCTTGGATTAGCATTCATGCTCTGCTGGCCTATGTTCAGGTAATATAACTTTGTTTTTGCGATTAAATTTACTGCTTCTGTTAACATAGTTAACATACTTCTGCTGCTAAGGAAGCTACAGACGAACTTTTACAGTGCAGGTCGTCAGGGAGCCATTTTAGCTGCTCTCGTTCCCGGTATAAATATAATTAAAGTGCTTCTTTTGGGACTTGGTATATGGAAAGACGATGCAACTGTCAAGTCCATGAGCAGATTTGGAGACCATAGGTAAAATCTGCTGTTTATCTGTGTGGTGTTCGTGTTAGAACAACTAAAACTGTTATTTTTTTTTTGGCTAATTTACACTCGAATCCAAAATATGTCAATCTTAATTGTTATCTATGCTCATTTCACTTTAGTTTAGTAAATGACAGTGAATATAAATTATAATGGTCTCTTTATTGAATTTCTAGCAAGTCTTTATCAGCAAAGATGTGATGGTTTAGGAGAAACTTGTGCACTAATTATATGGGGGAGCACTTCTAGAAGCTTCTAAGACAAGTGATTGTTGAAAGTTTGAAACCACACGCACATAACATCTCATTCCTTATGTCAAGTTAAAAACTCTTGTGTCTAATGTTGCGAACTGCTTGTAAGGTGTTCAGAGAGCTACTTAAGGGGCCTTTGTACTATGCTTCTACAATCACTTTAGCCAGTGCCATTTACTGGAGAACATCTCCAATAGCAATTGCTGCAGTTTGCAACCTATGTGCCGGTGATGGTATTGTTTCCTAATGCAATCCCGAATTTTCCAAATTTAGCATATGGTAGCATGCAATTTCCCGAATTTTGTTATACAAGGTATAAATAATATTTTTCTGTGAATATATCAGGCATGGCTGACGTTATCGGCCGGCGTTTTGGTAACCAAAAACTTCCATACAATCCGAATAAATCACTTGCTGGCAGTATTGGAATGGCATGTGCTGGTTTCCTAGCTTCCATCGGGTAATAATATTCTTCACCAATGGACTTGATTTGGTTTTGATTGGCTTTTTGTGTCAACCATAGTCAATTTTGAAAAGTGGTTGAGTTAGGTTTGAGTGGAATTTTGAGTTTGTATTAAAATAGTATTTAAAATAAAATGATTAAAGTTGAATTGATGTAAAAGTAGGAAAAAAATGATTGGAAAGTGATAGAGGTAGTTAAAATTATGTGAATGAATGATAGTGAATTTAAAGTTAATGTGATGTATATGGATGATTGATTAATATTATTTAATTATATTAATAATATTGAGATAGTGAAGTTGAGTTAAAGTTTGAGTTTTGATTGGTTTTTTTTAGTTAAGTTTATATCTAATCACAACAACTCGATATTTTTCCTCTTTTTTGGTGGGCTAATTCCATTTATTATAATAGATACATGCTCTATTTTTCGTGGCTTGGATACATTGAAGAAAGCACCAAAATGGTGCTCGGGTTTTTTATTGTCTCGATTGCTACTACATTAGTCGAATCCCATCCTCTAAGCACGGAGCTGGATGACAACTTGACGGTGCCTCTCACGGCTGTGTTAGTTGGCAGTGTAATATTTTGATCCCGGTAGATAGCTATAGATATTCAATAATATGTTAATATTTGTAATGTTTGTTCATTTTAAATGTCCTTGATGTGTTTGTTTTGAGTGGCAAGGTATAGGTTACTGGATTCAACCCTTTTTATTCAATGCAAGATTGAGATTAGGGTCGTAACAATTTTTTTTTTTTTTTGGGTATTTGTGAAATTCGAATTGCTATATAGTTATCAATATGTATATGAATTCAAATTCAAAGGGAATACTCAACTATTTAAATTAAATTATGGGTATGTTGGTACTTCTATCTTTTGACAATGTTGTGCATGATAAATAAAAGTAAAATATTATAATATATAACTAAAATTGATGTGTTATACAATAAAATGTAATAACTAATAAACTGGATATGTAAAAAGCAATTATTCCTTGAATTTAATATAAACATACAGCAATGGATTTTTATTTTTATTTTTACATTACGATGAGATTAAAAAGAAAAAAATGTGACAAAATTAACTTGACGAATAAAACGAAACTCTTTTTATCCAACTTTATCATTTATGTATTTGTAAATCTCAAATTGACAACACTGTAATTTAGAAAAATGCTAAAAATTAATGGCAGTTTTGACTTCTCGATGGAGATGGCTAGTGCCGGCAAAGTCATTCGTGATCATCTTGGGAGATGGGCGCGCGGTTTTTTGATGAATATCGGGTTTTGTTCAATCATTGGAGCGGGATTATGGGGTCTATTCCTGGGGCCATGGTTGGCGTGGGATGTTGGTGCACGAAAGATTAAAGTTGAGATTGACAAAAAAAACATTATCGGGATGGTACATGATGGCAGTATGGTGGCCACATGGTAGTATTATAGGAGCATTAGGGAGCTGTTGGGTCGTCCTTGGGTGGTCGAGATTATTCATGGTTATCCAGAAACCAATTTTGTGGAAGATTATTTAGTATCTATAGCGGCAAAAAGCCCGAACAGTCTTCATAGATTGGATGAATATGGTTAGACCACGTTTTGATCGGCATGTCTTATCCTCGGGATCATTACTTAGATTATGTAAAGGCCTACCCTCCCATTATTGTAAAAACAAAAAAAAATAAAATAAAATAAAATAAAAAAATACTAAAAACCTCCCTATATCAAGTTTTTAATAAATATTTTTTTTTTTCACATAAGAGAAAAAAAAATGTGAAAAAAAAGGAAAAGAAAGAATATTGTTCCAATTTAATTCCAGTCACATATCTCCCAAATTTTTTGTTGTTATTTGAAATTGCGCCATTGTTTGTCATTCGAGAACAAGTGGCCTGAGCAATTTTCATTTGAGTGGAGCTAAAGGGGCGAAAATTAAGGCTCAGCCATGGCGTATCAGAATTCCGGCATGCTCACAAGAGATCAACTGCTTCATCTCTTTGATCGATTCGCCTCCCTCACCTCGCAACCTGGTAATTTTTATCTTTCTGCGAAACAATTTACTTCAATCACGAACCTTTAATTCATATTTTGTTTCGCTTGTTTACTTTAGGTTTCATTTTTGTTTTGCAATTTTTTTGTCTTGTCGATTGTTTTCAGAGGTGAAGCAACGTATTTCTGATGCCGTCAACGACAGGCAGGTAAAATTATTTGTAATTTTAGTTGCCCACTGCTAATCACGAGCTCGGGTAGTTGAATTGATCTATTGCAGCTCGATTATCACTATGATTCTGCTTTGTGAAGTTCCAATCCGAAACTATAATGCTCGTTATCCTGTCCGTAGGCAGATTTTGTGAAACTGAGTTTGTAATGTAAGTACACACAGATACATAGTGATAGAGAATATGTCTAAGTGTTTTCATCTAGTTAGTATGATATAACTGAGTTTATGATTGATATGTTCTTGGCTGCTGTCGTATCTATAGTCACCTCTTGTTTTATAATCTATAAATTTTTATTTGTTGTTTCCCTAAGCAATATTTCATCTCGAATGGACTATTTTTGTACTGTTAGTCATGGACATATATGTATGCAGGAAGCTGTAGCAGTAACAACTGCAATCCAAGAAGAGATATTTTCAGAGATGGGAGTTGGTGAGTAGTTTCTTTCGGAATTTTTCTGTAGAAATTGACCAAAATTAGGCAATGAATTTTGTGGAATGCCATTTTACGGGTTTTTTTAATGTCTAAATTGATTGTTCCCCTTCCTTTTTAATCTTCATTTTGTTGATACGGGCTGAGAATGTATTTTGCATGATAAAAAGATATGTCAGGAACCAATTTATTTGACTGGTAGCTGGGATGTTCCTTTAAAAGTTAACATACATGTTTTGGTTGCTGATGGATTTTGAAACTCAATTCAAAAGTTATGAATAAATTTAATGGCCCCAATGGAAAAAAGGGTATCTCCTATCATCACCGAGTAGTATTTGCTACTGTGGATAAGTGTGAAAACTTCACATCTCTATTGCAGATCCACAATTCGGTTTGGCGTGCTTGGGAAAAGTAAACATGTCTTATGAGAACGACCAAGATTTGATGATTCGATTTTATGCTTTTGTAGCACAGTAAGTGTTCATGTTTTGCTGGTCATTTACGGTTATGTGCTGTAAAATGTCCTTTCAAGGGCTTCTGTTCACTATGAGTGTATGACTGTTGATAAACTTAAGTACTGCAATTCATTTATTGGTTTGTGGATCTATAATTATTACAATACTTCCTATTGTGAATTATGAGTCATTATTGAACTGATTGTTTAGATAATTACTGAAATGATTTTCGTGTCTGTTCATACACGTTGATAGATGAGATTAGTGATTAAAAACAAGTAGTAATTGATTAACATGACATAGTCGAATTCGGACACTATGTTCCTTATTCCAATACCTTTTAGTTGTGTTGCAGTGATGTCCTATACTTTGGAATATGGCATTAGATCAACCCAATTTGAGAAAGATATAATCTTCGTATTATTTTTGTTGGCTTGAAAGAGAGGAGATAGCATGTGACGAAGCAGAGCTTGGGCCAGAAAAAGTTGCAGAAAAAATGGAAATGCAGCAGTATTTAGAGGAACAGGTAATTATTTGTGAGTTATTCAATCAATCAACTTTATTAAAAAACAACTGATAATAACATATTTGCAGCAATTGGAGATGCTGAAGCATATGCGCCACTTCAACATGGATGATCAGTCTACAATCATCGAGAAGGTTTTGTATTTAGAATTACTTGTGCTTTTTCTGTACTGGTGAAATCATATCCACCACCTGCCTTAAGTTAGGGTGCAATCAACATCAACATCAACATACCCAGTATATTCCCAACAGGTTGGGGTCTGGGGGGTCTGGGGGGTCAGTTGTACGCAGACCTTACCCTTGTAATTATACAAGGAGGCTGTTTCCATAGCGACCCAAGGTGCGTTGCGTCGTTTGATATATTTTTTCTAGAAACTTCACTAATAGAAGAAGCACTAGAACTTAATTGAGCCATTTTGATTTAGTCCATTATTAGCACTATGCCAGGAGAATTGTCAACAATGACTCTTCCAGCTCCATATGCAATGGACATATATACTACTGTCTTTTGTCTTACAAAAGCTCATTTTTTTTATTAATATATACAAATCCGTACATGTAATGAGCTACCTTGTGCTTATGCAGATCCACCAACAGATGGAGAACACGAACTTTCAACCCGAGGCATCACTTTTGTCGGTCCAACAAATCCAGGATATTGTGAGAAGAAGGGTCTCGCCCGTCTTCCAGTCAATTTAGCGTTTGTTTCTTCCGAACATTATAAATGGGAATTTGATTATCTGTAATTTTATTGTGTACATTTGTGGAGGTGGCCGTCAAAGTGTTCTAAATGAAATGAGGCCAATCTCCTAACAAAGCTAGAACCAATATAATCGTTTGGTATTAAAACTGGTTTGATGTAAGTAGGAGAGAGATGATATGAAGTGATAGTGAGTTAAAATTATGTGAATGGATGAATATTGAACTAAAGTTGATATGAGGTGACTGTTGAAGGAAAAACTCAAACGAAACTCAATTTTAACTTAACTCTACTATTTCAAGTAACAGTCCAGCTAACCCGTGGTGTGATATTGTCCGCTTTGGGCACTCTCACTCACGGTTTTTGCCTTTGGGAGCTAGCTCACCAAAACGCGTCACAATAGTGAGGTATCCACAACCACTTATAAAGCATGCTTCGTCCTCCTTCACAACCGATATGGGCCCAGCGTCCTCGCTGGCAAATCAGTCCTGGTACTGGCTCTGATACTATTGTAACAGCCCAGCCAACCCGTAATGTGATATTGTCCGCTTTGGGCACTCTCACTAACAATCAATCATTAAATAATAAAAACCAATCGTTTTTATACATCATATCAACTTTAATTCATTATTTATCCACTCACATAATTTTAACTAACTTCACTACATCAGACCAATTTTGATTATTTTATTTTAAATATTATTTTAATATAAACTCGAAATTCACTAAGTAACTACACTACTTTTTCTAAATTAACCCTAGTTAATTCAAAGAAATTCTCTTGAGTTAATTCACTCAAATTATTCCTTTAACAAGCACACCCTAAATAGGTTTGAATTAAATGGTTGCTCAAATTGGTCAACAACTTAAGTAAACCAAATAATAGTTATTTTGTGTAAAATTTTAACTTGCCCAGTCGAGAGAAAATTACATATTTTCTCCAATCTACGATATTTCTCAAACAATTAAAATAGTATATTTAATAATTTTAGTCACTAATGAACTTTAGTGTTATAATATTTGACGTTTGAAAAAGAAAGAAAGAAAA